ATAGTGGTTTCAAATATTAATAATAAATGTAAAATAATGAAAACATGTTAAATTCATTAAATAGTTACCAGCACTTGACCCATTTGGAAATCGTTCATCAATGATGGAACTTTCTCTGAGTCTTCCGCGATTTGTCAAAGTTGTGGTTTTTTATTTGGTGAATTGCATTATCTATTGTTAGTAATGGAAAATTCAAATTTGTTTTTTCATCTTGATCATTATCAATTTGAAATAATATCATTATTTACTAAAGACATTTTCATTTAAGAATTGAAAATTTTTTTTTATTTACCAATTTAACAATCACAAATATTCAAATATATCTCAATGCATTATGGATATCCTAAATATTGTCACTAATTTCGAACATGCTCATTAATAGGGAAGAATCCTTCTCGTATTCTCCAATAGAAAATCAGAGTGTTATTGAAATGCTGAGACAAACATTCAAATTTACCTTATAATTGATAATAAAAGGAAAAACAGCAATTTCAGCAGATATTTTTTATAGTTGAATTTCTCATTACCAAAAATATGGTCCATACTAATACGTACAATTTACTTTAGAAAAGCTTTGGGTAGTTTCAAGATATTTTCTATAGAAAATATTAACCGGGTTGATTATTATCCTTTCCTTTATCAACAAAAGCGCGAAAATTTACACTGGTTGGTCGGTCAGTCATTTTACAACATTTCTTGTTTCTAGGGAATTGATTTTGAATTGAGATCATTCATGTAGTTGTTACTAAAGCTTTGAACGAATTGAATCACCTAATTGTTGTTGATTCGATTCGATTCGATATATACCAACTATACAATCATGATTTGGTGCGATTTGACCTGTTTCGATTCGATATATACATACTAATTCAATGAAAATAAATTCCTTGTTTTGGGGAATCTTGTTTCAGCGAATTATAATTAAATTCGCGTTACATAGATGAAATGCCGAAATAGTTTCCATGGCAGCTGTAATTAATTTTAATAGTATAGCCATCCAAAGTTATATGGTCTCTTTAATTTGAAATAAACAAAATAGCATAGTTCATACATCAAGAATCTGAAATATTGCCGGAATATCTGGGAAAACGCAAAAACAATTTCTGCTAAAATCTATACTTCACATATAAAATTCGTCAAAACGCGATTTAAATGTAATTTGCTTATGCTTCTCGTAGATTTGTTGAAATGAGTATTTGCTTTTAAATCTGACTCGATTTGTTTCGTTGGGAGCCTTAGTTGTTACAGCTTGGAAGTATATATATTTTTGTATATGATAGCATGTAAATATTTGATGACTTTTTCTTTTTCTGTTATTTAAGATAGATTCTTTTTTCAAACCAATTATCAAGTAATGTTTCAGAGACGAGGTTCTAAAGTCTATTTTTTCAAAAAGTGATAGATAAATTAAAGATGACGTCAATTTTATTGTCAAACGGAAGGATTCCAAATTAATATTAATTTAGGTATGGTGAAAAGGGAGTATATTTATCATTTGTGAACTGGATGGAATTTAAGTCTTTCACCAGGTAGGAGTGGGCGATATTTTCGTAGCAAAGAGTGCGAGATATTAGAATTTAAAAGTTATAAGGAAGATCTTCGTTCAACATTTTTTGTTTCGGGTTACTGTTCTTTTTTTCTTTCCCATATATTTATTAAAATCAATAACAGAATTCATTATATATAAAATTTATAAAATTAACCAACTGATAAATTGATGATTTTATTATTTTTAAAAATTCCAAACCTTGATATTTTTTTAATAAATCAAATAATTCAATTCTTCTAATTATTGATGCCAGTTCAATTTTAAAAGGTTTAGGCATCATCATGATTAAAGGCTATGCCATTTAAAACTTTTGGTAATGCCTGATTTAAAGCTTTTAAAATTCCATCACCATTAATTGTATCAATAAATTTAATAGATCTTTAAATTAATGGCATTATAATCGATAAATGTTCCAAATTTTGAAAATGTTCTCCAATTGATTGAAGATCACCCAGACATTTGCCATCTTCTGGATTACCACCAACTATTAAAATTTTAAGACTGCTTCCGTTAATTTTTATGAATTCTGACGAGTCTGATAGAAATGGCAAATAATGGATGTTCAATTTATAATTTCAATATTTGGGAACAGAATAGATTTCATATACTTTGTACCATCATGATCTTTAGATATTTTTAAAATCTTCAAATTATTTAATTGAATCCAAATTATTTTTTCCATAACTAAAATAATCAATTATCGATAGTGAATGAACTAAAATTGCTTGTATTAAATCATTTGATAAAATTAAATTACCAGCATACAATGTAATAGCTAATTTTCGAATTTTGTGTTGTGCCTTAATTAGTTGAGCTAATATATAGTGAGAATTAATATTATATGAGGAAATACACCATCTATTAGTAAAACTCGGATCTTTTACAAGTATTTGTTAAATAATTAATAAATTCAGGATCATTATTAAAATAATATCTTAATTCATAAAGATTTTGAAAACAAAGTAGTAGCCCTACAATTTAACAATCCTTCACAACCATAAATCTCAATAAACTTGAAGTTTGAATAGTCTAAAATGAAATTCACTAATCTTTCTTTTAAACGTCCAAGTTTAATATGACCATAACAACTAGCTACCAACAGATTTTTATTAATAACTTTCCTCAATCTATGGAAAAACAATTCAGCATAATTACGTAATGGTGGTTTTTTTAATAGTTGAGAAGCTAATGTTATTTTTTGTTAAAAATTTTTATCTTCTTGTAATAAACAATTAATTATTATTTGAATGTTGATAGTTGAATAAATGGATCCTCCATAACGTCGAAATATTGATATTATGCCATTGTTTATTGACAAGAATGCAAGGGTATAACGATTTATAATTTATTATTATTGAATATTTCAATGTTTTCAAAACTTGTACAACCTATTTTTATTTCCGGCCAATTAAAGTGGACCTTTTCAAAAGTGTGTTGTGAACTTAGTGAAGACCAAATCCTAGCATTGATGTATTCTAATTGTGTCAACACAAAGGACAAATTTACAAAGAATCATTCTGTATATTCTGGAAATCGATCTTTAATATGCCAATCAATAGTTGATACAGGGTGTCAAATTAATACATATTTTCAAAGTTAAATAATTTGCATCTGATGTCTGGAATAATTTAGATATTTTGAATAAATTTAATAGAAAAGAATTATTCGGTCTCTCTGATCCAACTGTTATATAAATACACCTTTCTGCACATCGTCTGATGGGAATGATATTAATAAAATGACACTTGCATTTGAAAAGTATCTAAAAGGAAAATAGTAGTTTCCAATTTAAATTGGTAATAAAATGAAAACAAATTTACTTCATACCTCATTACTATATATCCATCAGATTTTGAATCACTGGTGCCATATTGGGACCATGGAGAAGAATGTTGCAAGGTGTTAGATGCACTTAGACATCTAAAAAATATAGAATTATTCCGAACGTCAAACAAGCATATATTACCAGCATCGAAAGTCTAATATGACAAGAGTAAAGAATTTAATTATATAATAAATAGTATTTCATTACTATAACTGATGACCATTTTTCTATTTAATAATCAATATAATAGTGAACAAAGGAAGTAGAGGCAGACTCATCATCACAATGAGTATGGCATTAAAGTCAATATCTTGGTTTGACAGATTAAATAAAACCATGTTAAAAAGCAATAAATGGCAAGGAGGTAAAAATTGTTACTGAAAAAATAGTAATAGGGTTATATTTTTATAAAAACTTGAAAGTTGAGCTCCTCATTGTTTTTTATAATAAGGTAATAGGTGGAGGCAATTATTGAATTTGTATTTTTATTATAGATTTAAATATTAACAGAATTATTTTTGAATATTTCATAGGATAACAATATTCAGTGTGAATGCACAAAAAAATTTATGTTAACAAAACCAAAGACGGTATCAAGTGGTCATGCTTTGATGTTCTATTTGTATAAAAATAATTTTATAAATGATATTCTATATGGTCGAGTAATGAAAGAACTATCAGCAAAAAAACGATAAGCTTCAAAATAAATTTGATAAATTTTGGGATGGTTTCAATGTTTAAATTGAGATAAACAATCGTGGGTTGGATGGGAAACAAAGGGTATCATCAGTGATTGCTGATAATTTTTTGTATCATGAATTGCACAGCAATCAAATCTTTCATCTCAAAATATTTTTCTAGATTTCAAATGACTTAATAAATATCGCAAGAATATATTCACAAGTTAATGGTCCTGGTTACATTGCAAATGAAAGTCCTATAATTTCTTAAAGTAGAATATCAGAGATCAACAATCAAAAACTTGAGGCTTGATCTAAAGACAAACTCTTCTATTCTTTGTTTGAAGGATAATAAGAAAGAACTCTGGAAAATTTTGGGGCCACTTATCCTGATAGAGTTAAATGGACATCATTTATGGCACATTTGGCAACCAATGTTCATTTTACCTGGTTTTGACCCATCCATATTAATAATGTTTGTTAAACTTTTTAAAAAATTTTTATTTATTAATAAAAAAAATAAAATATTCACACAAAACTTGGTCTTAATTTCTCAAGTGTATAATAAAAATTTTGGAATTTTCAAAATCGTTGAAAAGTTTGAAGCTTGAGTCATACATGAACAATAAAACTTATCCAGTTAATTTTTTTAAAATGATATAAAAATTTTTTGTTTTATATAGTATTTTGAAGCTGACTTATTGTGTTATAAATAAATAATCTGCATCAACAAATTGCAAATACATAGATAGATTTATATAAAGTCTATTATTAATTTATTAATTTATTATCTATTACTATTATTATTATAAAAGGACACTTCTAATTACCAAGTAACTATCATATATAAAATGAATAAAAGAAATATATATATTAGGAATTGGAAAAAACTGTTTTCTCAATCAATCAATTTTATTTATGATGATAAATCCGCATCAGTATTTTCTGATTCATCATATTTTGCTTCCTCCTCAAGAAAAAATCGATGATTGAGTGACCATTCAAGTTTTTGCAATTCAATACTGTTAGGTATATAAATTTTTCTATCAGATGAACCAACTACTACCACTGGTGCTATTACTACTGGTTCTTTATTTTGCAAAATATTATTATTGGTTCCGGTTTTTATTCTTATTCTTTTTGGAGAATTAATGGGTTTTAAATCATTTTTTTCTATACTTGTATCTATAACATTTTGATATGGCGGTGATTGTGATGGTGTTGTTGGTGGTGTTGTTGATGGTGATTGCAGTGGTGTTGTTAAAGATGATTGTGGTGGCAATGATGATGATGATAATGATGATGATGATGATGATGACGATGATGGTGGCGGTGGTGGTGGTGGTGGTTCAATAATTTCACCATTGTTATTGTTATTAATATTATTTTCATTAATTTGTATATTCTTTTTTGATAATTCAATTTTTTTTTGTATTAGTTGATTTTGGCGTAATTTATAGATTTTTAATCTTGTTTCCTTTGGTAATTTTTGTTCCTAGTGGAAAAAATATTTATTATGTGTACACATATCATATTCTATCTATATATTCTAAATATCATATACATACTTTTTCTAAAGTCTGTCGTAGAATAGGAACAATGACAGTTCTCAGATTTTGGTAGAAAGATCTTTCATCAGCATGTTGTTGCTCAAGTGGAATCCCTGTAAGACGTTTCTCAAAATATTTCTCAAGATTTGCTACATCCTCAACCGTTGTAGTACCGACACTCCATAAAACATTATTATTTACAATAGATTCTTTATAAATCCTAGATCCAACTATATAATATTACATGAATATAAGGTTAACAATTGTACCTACATGAATGTAATATTAATATTTATCAAAAAACTTACTTCCAACATAATAATATTTAGAACCATCGGAATCTGATCCTATTTTCTCAACATCAAATGGAATACTATCATTTCCTTTACTCATTGGATATTTTTTTTTGACAAGTTCTTTAATTTTTGTGGAAACATAAAATTGTTTAATCACCATATCCTTCAATATTAGAACCTATTAAATAGATATGTGTAAATATTTATCACTTGTCAAACCACTCATTAAAAATAATAAAGCACTCACTAATATAAATATTATTTAACCTTGTCACGAACTGATAATTTATAAAAATTTTCAACATTTTTTAAAGGATTGACTCTGGTATAAAAACCTTTATCTTCTTGTATAATGTTATCAATATGACTTACTAATTCTTTATGTAAAGAAATTGGACTAAAATTTATCAATGAAAAATTATTTGTGATATTTGTTTCAGAAATGTTTAATCTAAATAATAATAACAATAATCATAATAATAAGTCTAAATGTTACTTGATAAGTTTGTCTTGATTCTTTAGATTCTTTAGAAAATATAATAATAATTTCTCCAAAATTTCATCTCTTTCGTTTTTACAAAGTGCTTCTTCCAAATCCTTTTTAAAATATTGATATTCATTTGAGTGATTATCATACAAAATAATGATATTAATAATGTATCAATAGATAATACCTCTGGCCAAAAAAACACATAATCTAATGCCTCCTTATATTTAAAAGAAAAGAAAATAATAAATGCAGTTTCTGGCATATCTTTTGGGTCAAGTTCTTGTTGTTTTTTAGATCTTTGGCTTATTTTATTTCTAATTGGTGACATTTTTGATTTTTTGCTATATTTTATTTTAGTTGGTTGGTTGTAAGTTTATATGAGAGTTTGTGACAAACTTTGTTTTTCTCACTCTTTAAAAAAATCGTTTTCAAAATAAATAATGATAACAGATAACAGATAATCTCCCAAAAAAATAAACATTGGTGATAAATAAGGCGATGATCAACGAAAATTTTGGCCAACGAATTTCTTATTTTCTTATTTTAATATTAATAAAGAATTATATACCCAAATCCGGGTTTATTATACTACGAAAATAAAGCATTTGAATAATGATGCGACCCGTGGACATTCTTTCATCCATTAATTACTCAAAAACACGTCCGTTGGACTATCCGTCGGATTGAAACATAGTAATAGTAACAGTAACAGTAACAGTAACAGTAACAGTAATAGTAATAGTAATAGTAATAGTAATAGTAATAGTGAAATATTATAATTTTGATAACTCATGATGTTTATTGCATTCAAAATTAATTTGATGGATTAATTTGAAGCATGAATCTGGTTTGCTTGCTTACGGGTTCTCGTTTCTTGCACTTAAATAATGATAATTTTGTGAAATAGTATATTTTCAAAAATCTCCTTTTGAAGATTTAAATTCTCCTAGGATTAGTTAGTGATGTACCGCGCATAGTTTGTGGCACAACAAGTGAGATTTTTTTGTTATCCTATAATGCTATGTGTGAATCCTACGTACACACTATGTATATGCACTATGCGTGAAAGAAAATCAAGTTTGCTATAGAATGGTACAACAGTAGTCAGTGTCTAAATTATACATGAGGTGACTTTTTAACGCAATTAATTGAGTCATATGAAAAACATATAAATAATTGAATTGAGTCAAATCCAATTTAATTTGACAACATGTATAATCTAAATTATTATCAATGTGTCTTCTACTGTACGCTTTAGATTGTTATTCTGGGCTGTAAACAAGTATTATATCTTTCATTATTTTAACCGGACATTGATTAACATTAGAAATATAGATATTGTTTTACCTGTACAATCTTATGTCGGGACGCAATCTTCAAAGGTGTGATTATACCATCAGAGGCCCATGTTCCTTCATTTACTCCTTCATCTTCTGTTAAATAATCTTTAAGATTACGTATTCGTTTGCTATACGTTTTGCGAATTAGATATTGCGAACGTGTGTTCCAAGTTATTTATTACGAAATCACCAAATCTGGCACACGGCCAAGTTAGTTCAAACTAAAATTATTAAAATAAAACATACAACTATACTACAAACAATATAATCATTAATCATCGAAAGGGTCATGAATCAATCACACAGACTTTATTAATTAATTACAGCCAAAGAATAAATTTATGTGCGTTAGGATGTTTAAAAAGAATAGGTGATTACTAACGCTATTTCAAGAAGCCAAAAATGCGTACTGATTCATTAATGACTGCTTCGGATATAAAAGGGAATTGATTGACAATAATTAAAACCCACAAATGATTCAAGATTTCAACAAGTGACAATTACTGTTTATGATTATAATGAGACGTATCTTTAATTATGATTGCTAAAGCTATTTTGTAACCATGATGGAGGGTCCATTGCATCTATAATTGAAGGTATGATGAGTACATTGTATAAATGTTGGCACTTCTTATGGATCCCTCGAAGTTCTTTATTATTATGCGTTTCTTTTCCATTTATCTCCTACGGATATTTTCATTCTAGATGAAACAAAAAATAGGGTTTGTAGATAATTGATTATCATTCTTTGAGAATTGTTGATTTGCGGTTGATGAAATTTATCCAAACACCTTTGAATAATCCTTCTTTATTAAAACAAAATGATTGATTTACTTATATTCGCATATGGTGATGGATTTAGTTCATCGGATAAATCTAGATTTTTCAAAAAACTGGCCACACTGGCGCAGAAATTTGATACAGGTAAATATAAATTGTTACACGGAAAACTAAAAAAATTTTTTCTCAATTTCTGTGTTCTATATTTATATATATTAAAATTTTACAATAAATAGAAAAATAGAAAACTCACCTCTTCTCTTATAAAATTCCTTTGGTCACCAATTTAAAGGTTAAATCTCTGAAAAAAAAAAGAAAAACTTTTTTTTCTGCCCGATTTTTAATTCCAATCATGTCATTAACCGAACAAATTGTCATAGTTGATAATAATACCGATAATATTAACTCTATTTCTACTTTGGATGATGTTGGAGCTACTTTGATGTTTCCAAAAAAATATATGGATAATACTAATTCAATTTTAGTAAACGATTATGATAACAGTATGAATAAAAAAGTCAATTTAACAGCAACAACAACAAACGAGCCAAATGATACACATTCAACTGGTCACTCAACTGGTCGTTCTACCCCTGATCTATATGATGCAAATTTCCCTAGTCTTTCATCAAATACATCAACTGCTTCTTCCACTTCTTCCACTACAACCATTAATTATAGCAGTATTGTTAATAGTAACACTGACTGTGTTAGTAAAAATGATAGGAATGCCATTGTCACAGAAAATTTGGAGTTAGCTGCATCACAACATAATAATCCTCAACAACAAAAAAGATCCAAAAATCAAAAAAATCAAGCAGCAGAAATTATTAGACGAGTGATGGAACGAACTAATACAAAAATAAATGTAGATCCTGGTGCGAAAAGTTCTGTTGTGACTTTTTTAATTGAGGGAAAAGATGAAGATGTTGCTAATGCAAAACGTATTTTAATTGATAAACTCGGTCTTAAAGTAATAATAATAATAATTAAGTTCTAAATGATTGTTTTTTGTGTGTGCACGCATCAAAGTCATTTTTATGAATGAATGTTTTATAATTTAACTATTTACTCAATTGGTTTATTTTTTCTACGTTTAGGATGAAATTACTATTCAGGTTCCTGCATCAGCCCGTTCTCATTTATTGGGACCTCGTGGTACAACCCTAAAGTCAATCACTAATTCAACTGGTGCACGCATCACACTGCCACCACGTTCTAAAAATCCAAGAGAAGAAATGAGAAAGTCTGAATTGGATTACGACGAGGATGAGGAAATGATGAATGTGACAATTTTTGGTGAGATGTGTGCTGTTTGTAAAGCAAAAGTTGAAATTCAAGACCTTATAAAATCTATGGTACATTACGATTTATTTATTTATACATGATTTATGTTTTAATTTGATCATAAATTATATATTTTATTAGTTTAAAGTCTTTTTATTAATTGGATGATTGGATTATGATTATGTAGTGTGCAACTAAAAGGACACATTATATTAAACACATCGAAAGTAAATTTTATCCATTGATTGCTGGCGCACATAATCAACGTATTAATCAGCTTGGTCTTGATACTGGTACAAAAATTCATGTCCCTTCTTACAACCCTACCAATTCCAACAACACATTCATTGATGCAGACAAAAATTATATTGTTATTACTGGTGAAAGAAATTCAGTTAAGATTGCAAGCGAAATGATTGAAGACCGTTATGAAGATTTGGTAAATTGTTTTTTATATTCTCTTTGTAATTTTTTATCTTTATTTTATTTTATTTTATTTTGAATTTATCGTACTCATGTGTATATATGCACAAAACATAGAAAATTAATACACGTACTCTTAAATTCGAGATTCCAAAACGTCAACATAAATATTTAATTGGTCCAAAGGGTGCAACTCTTCAAGAAATTCTTGAAACAACAGGTTGTATACTAGAATTACCACCGGCAACTGATCCATCAGCGAACGTAACAATTCACGGACCACAAAACCAATTAGCAGATGCTATAAAAACTGTAATGAAAAAAGCAAACTCTATGCATGTTCAAATACTTGATATTACTGACCTTCATCACACGGAAAATCCAATGAAACATTCTATTAATATTTTGAAATATTTGTGGAATAGAAGCAAGTTGAAGAACGTTGAATCTAAAACTGGCGTAAAAATTGTTACTCCAAAGATTACAGCATCAGCAGAAACAGAAATGAAGAATTTGGTTATGGAATTTGTGAGTAAAGTACCTGAAGATGTAGAAAATGCTAGAAAAGAAATCACCGAAATAATCAAAAACTTGGTGAGTTAAATGAACTTATTGATGTAATTAATAGTAACAAACAATTTAAAAAATATATATACTAATACATACATGTATACACGTATAATAGCCACCTAGTTATTTTGATGTGGTAGAAATTAATCCAAAATTTCATCGACATGTAATTGGTCGTAAAGGACAAAATTTACAAAGAGTCAAAGATGCTTATGGTGTTGAAATAATAGTTCCTGATGAGAAAGAAGCCAATCCCGAGATATTGATAGTTTTTGAGGGTAGAAAAGGTGTCAAGGAATTTTCTGATAGAAAGAAAAAAGAACTTTACATTAAGGAAATAATGGAAAAAGTGAAAAATGAATTGTTAAAAGTGGAACGTGATTCGTCATCGGATTTTTCTACTCAGACATTAGTTGTTCCTGTCAAGTATCATCGGCATATTATTGGACCTAAAGGGATTAATTTGAATGCGATTATTCATAATGATAATGGTAGTGGATGTTCATCTGTTTCAGTAAAATTTGGGTCATCTAAATATTCAGGTGTAGATGATCGATCGTCAAATGCACAAGAAGTTTCAGATGATTCTATTATAGTTAAAGGACCTGTTAAAGAAGTTGAAAGAATAGTTGAAGAAATTAATGAAAAAGTAGAAGATATTAAACGTGTTGAGGTTGGTCGCTACATTTATAAATACTTGTAATGAATGTTATGACTATATTATTATCTCACATTTATAATATATTTATACATATTATTTTAGAATATGAAATCGTTTACGGCAGAATTTACAATTCCGGCGATTTACTCCTCACATATTATTGGTAAAGGAGGGAGTAAAATAAAATTTATCAGAGAGAATTACAACGTCAGGATAGATATAGATAACAAGAATGTCAATAAAAGCAACAGTGGTAACGAAGAAGATGAGACTGTTAATGTTAAAATAGTTGGGATGAAAGTTTATGTTGAGGAGGCTAGGAGTCGAATTCTAGACACGATTGACAAATTACAAGAAGAAAATGTTGTTTGTGTGAATATTTCACCACATTATCATGCTTCATTGATTGGTGCCAAAGGTAAAACGGTTAGAAATCTAGAAGTGAAACACGGTGTACGTATTAAATTTCCAAGAAATAAGAATTACAAGAATCATCCTACCATCACTCCTAGTATTAGTAGTGACATTGATGAAGATGTAGGAGATGGTGATGAAGGAGAAGGAGAATTTGAACGTGAATTTGAGCAAAATAATGAAGAAGATTTAGGTTTAGACCCAGATGTAGAAAAATCTGATGAAGTATTAATAATCGGTGGTAAAAGAGGAGTTAGTGAGGCTAGAACAGAATTGCTGGATCTTTTACACTACGCGCAAGATCATGATAATATTCTCAGTTTCACTATTCCAGCCAAATGTTTGCCACATGTTGTTGGCAAGAACGGAAGAAGAATCAAAGAGATTAAGACTGACACATTTACAAAGATTTATATTAGTAAACCAATAACTTTGAATGTTGATGACAGCAATGATGATAATAATAATAAGCTATATGAGCAAGTTGTTAGAGTAAATGTGCGTGGTAATAAAAGGGATAATATCAAGGCCCAGAACAAGATTTTGGAGATTGTTGAAGAATTTGAAAAACAAACAACAATCATTATGAATATTGATCCTAAACATCACAAGTTTTTGATCGGACCTGGTGGTAATCGTATTAAAGAGGTTATAGCAAAAGCTGGTGGACCAGAGGATAAAAGTTCTCAGGCCGGGATTGTTAAGTTTCCTCGACTTGATGATGGTGGTAGTAGAATCAATGAGGTTGTAATTAAAGGAAGTGAAGAACTTGTGAAAAAAATTAAAGAAGAATTTGAAATTTTAATCGAAGAACAAGTATGCATTCATTTAATTGATTTTATTTTTTATTCATTTTTATTATTGCTAACGCAGAAAAAAAAATTTTTGTTTAGGAAAATTTAATTATCGATATTATTAAGGTTCCCAGAAATGAACATTCAGTTATTATAGGCAGGAATGGGTCCCAACTTCATAATATTCAAAATAAATTTAATGTTGAGCTTTATTTCCCTGGTTCACGCTCATATAATCAAATAACAGTGACACAAAAAATTGAACAACAGCATGAAGATTTGATAGATAATAATGATTTAGTAAAAATAGTGGGGAAAGTTGAAGACATTAAACTTGCCAAAGAAGAAATATTATCAAAACTTCGATATGAATATGTGTTCAAATTCCCATGTAAATTCTACAGTATAATTAATAATAACGGATTTACATCGAGAAAATTAAGAAATGAGTACCATGTAATGGTTGAAAATCAAGAAGATGAGTGGAAACAAACCTCAACAATTATTAATAAAAAACCAAATTTCAAAAAGTCTACTAAAGTTATTTTTGAGGTAGAAGAGGAGGAAGAAGATAGTGACGATGAATTCGATGTAAATCAATTTGATTTTGAAATTATTGATAATTACGATGACGACGATGACGACGTCGATGATTTCGAAATTATTGATAATTATGACAACAACAGCGGCGATGATGATGATGATGATGATGATGATGATGATGATGATGATGATGATGATGACGATGACGATGAGGAGGAGGAGGAGGAGGAGGAGGTTGAGGAGGTTGAGGAGTCAGGAATTGAAAATGTGAAAGAAAAAAAATCTAAAGAAATTTCTTGGACACTTAAAGGTGTAAAAGGACAAGTTGATCAAGCTGTAAAATATTTAAATGAATTATTAGAACAAGCGGTAATTACGATATAGAATTCATTGTTTTTTATTTTTTAATAAATTCTTTCCTTACTCACTTCCTTGATTCTTTCATTGTAAATGGAATTAATTATGCGCTAGGTTAATGAATGTACTGGATATTTATCAATTCCTCAAATGTATCATGGACATATTATTGGACGTAGAGGATCAACTATTTCACATATTAGAGCAGAGAGTCGATGTAAGATTGATGTTCTCAAAGTTAACGGTGATGATATGATTGTAATCATTGGAAGCAAAGAAAATATTATGATAGCTAAAAATATGATATTTGAAGTATTAATTAACTTGAAAAAAGAACAAAATAGTAGAAAATCTTAAATATTTTTCTTCTAGATCTTTGGGTTGTAAATTATTTATTTATCTTGTGTATCATAGAATTTATATTTAACATTATTTCTTGTATTATATTTGTATACAATATTTATATATAAAGTATTCATGTAAAAAAAATTATATATTAAAGTATTGAACAATTGAACAATTGAAAGTTCTAAATTCTAAAATAAAGTTTTCAACCATTATTTTTTTTCTATTCACACTAACACGGCAATTTACCATTTGCTAGCGGTATCTACAAGTTATCTGAACGTCCACAAAAATTTAAATTCTGATTAATCCCGGATAAAACATGGAGTCAATGTCCACAAAATTTAACATTGTTAATGACCATCAAAAAACATGATCCCATATCCCATACGATCTCACTTTATTAATATAAAAACGTTGCTGAAATAACAACATACAAATAAACAATAGATTGGCGGAGGTTCACATTTGATCTAACATTTCTTGTCGTTGACCAGGATTCATATAATCATTGTCGTCATTTTCCTCATCCCTTTCTAATTTTTCTCTTGAAAGGTTTTCTCAGTATCTGCCAGAGCATGAGGCCCAGAAAAAGATTAATAATGAAGTTATAGATCAACTCCAAAAGGAGATTTCCAAACCACAATTCGAAAGAAAACGGAAAGTGCTCGAAAGATTTTATGACCTTTTTTTTCGTATTAACGATGATAAAAATCAACGGATGGTATATATCCAACGAATAAAAACACTTACAGCATCATCTATTTCGAAGTTAAGTTTAAACAATATCAAATATGTAGCATCTCAAGTTAGAAAGGATACTGGAATTTAAATTTTCTTTAATTATGGAAAAAATCAAAGTTGATTTTTTAAAGGGCAATTCAGAAACATAAAAATTTAGAGTTACAGATTTATACAATTTTGCAAAATGTTTCATTTTACTTGTTTTTTTGGTATATTGCACCATATTGTGGGATAATTAAATATGAAATAAAAAGTAATGATAGAATAATAAAAGGAAATGTAGATATAAAATACCAAGTAATCTTTATAATATATTATTCTTACTATAATAAAGATACTAATAAACACGAAATAATCGTGCATTTTTTTATGTGATACTAAAATTTTTTAGATCGCGTGAATCCGTTAGAAACAGTAATTTTATATATTAATATAGGTCATATGAGATGGTTTTCAGATAATAACCGTTATTATTATAGAGAGAGATTTTCAATAGTAAAAAATCGGGGCAAAATAAAATGTATGTTTCATAATGTGCATGGAAAATCAATAATCCATACATGCATAAATTTCGGTAAATTTCAAAATTTAGATTAAATGCACCAGCGTTTATTATTAATCCTATTTTATTTACCTTTTCCATGCATATTGCTCGAGAATATACCATAAAAATTTTATGCAGTTAATAAGTTAAAATTTTAATTGGTTTTTTAAAAAGTGGACCATGACTTTTGGGAGAAGACTTTTTTTATTTTTTTATTAAATAACCTTAAATATACATTAGAGAAAATATGAATTGATTCTTATTCGTAATCGATTAAATGCTCATGCGAACATTTTATTAATTAATAATTAACATCGCACATATATTTGAAACAATATCGGATTTGATGTGAATGATCAAAAGAACCAAGTCCTGAATCAATTATTACTTCAACATAAAAATGAGACATAAATTAATTAGTCTGTAATTTTCTATATATATAGCGCCTGTTCAGAACGGTTGGGATATTATCATCTAAATAATCATCCAGGGAATTATATATACCTGAATAATCTAATATCCACACTCCTTTATTCATTAAAAATTAACACTTATACAAAAAGTTTTTCTGTTCTGGATAACAGAAAATTTGGATATCTAATATATTTTAATATTAATTTTTAACGCATATATCTTACAAAATGATGAAAATTTTTCTTTGGATTCTCATTATCAATTGTATCGCCTGTAGCATGCTAGTTCATGCGTTTCCTGCTCATGGAGGTTAAAATCAATTTTATTCTATTTTACTTTATATTAAAAATTTCTCGTAAGTATTCCAGTTTCTCACCATATATTTGATTGATATTTCATTTATAGATGATGATCACCATCACAACCTCGAGAAACGTTGCAGTTTTTTCTCCAGGCTTATTGGTGATTGCGATGATGGAGTTAAATTGGGTGGAAATTGTTCGGTTCTACCTTGTAAAAAGGGTCTGGAATGCAAGAATCTTGGTGGTTTTGGTGGAACTCCCACTTGTACCTGATAAAAGTATTCAGCACTTTTTTTTTTCGCAAAGTCGAAAAAAAGTCCATCATATAAAAACTTTTTTTTTATTAATAAATAAAATACTTTATACACAGAGAGTTTCTATCATATTTATTTCGAATTAATCAAGCATATTTGAAATGTAGAATATGTAGTATCTATAACTTGAGTTTGTTTTTTTGAATTTTATGTGAAAAAATCGCAAAATTAAATAAAATTTTTACTTAAAACCATTCTTGAGCACCTAAACAAAAATAAGCGGAAAGACTTTAAATAAATATATATTTAAAATTTCATAAAAAATTATTTTGAAGCTAATGAATAAACCAAATTTTTATAAATATATTTAGAAAAATATTAAAATTTAATTTACTCAAAATTTTATATAGCAATAGGAAATAAAAGAACCTATGCGAAAACATTTATAAAAAGCCATATTTTTATTAATAAATTAATATCATCATAATCCTGAAAATAGACCAATTTCCAAAGAAATTAAGGGTTGTTTATATGAATACAATTGGCATTGATACGACTGAAGAAAAAAAATAAATATCGAATTAACAGAAGCAAAAAGTCAAGAATCATCGAGTCAGACAAGTTCCTATCAGATTAAAAGGTTTATAAACACCATCCTGGATCATTCCTATACAAGTCGTCTACTAAATGAATCAATTGAGCAAGTCTACTCATCAATGATAACAACCGAAATCACCCAAAACTTTAGTACAGCAATGATAACAAAGGATAACGTTTAAAAAACGTGTTAATTTTTAAGTCAATGCAAAAGATTGTTAATTTAATATTATTTATTTATTTATTTATTTATTTAACATTATTTTCATCATTTTCATTGTATGCATTTATTAAACTAAGAGTAATTGAATGTTCAAATTAACAAATGGTTTGTTGACCATTGAATAAAGGTTAACATAGAAATTTTTTTATATGTGTGTTTTAAATTTTCACTATTGACATTAATATAGTAATAGTATGTAAGAAGCATCGACTCCTTTACAATTACAGTCTCCGGCGAAAGTAATGGCGGTGATAATTTTTTTAAAAACTAAAAATTTTTAATAAGCAACTGTCAATAAAATTTTATTTTTAAAACGCCTTTAAGTAAAACATTATGTTTTTAAAAGCTTATAGTATAAAACGTTTTCCTCCCTTCTCAATCCCGGTTTGAATCTAATTTGAGCATTAAAAAAAAACGGAACTTTGGCTTTTTTAAAAATTTCTTAAATTTCATTTTTCTATTAAACTTTTTTTTTATCAAGTAAATGAATCTTTATACATTAAATAAAATTATTCGAAATGAAAAATTCCACGTATCCTAAAAATTTTATGAAGTTTGGATAAAAAAATTTAATATGTTTTTATATTTTACGCTTTTACGAAATAGAAAAATCAAATTTTTTTACACAAATGTAAAGTGCAAGAACACATCAAAAAATTTTCTCTAAACTTCATAAAAATTTTAGGATATGTAGAATTTTTCATTGTGAACAACTTTATTTAATATAAAAAGATCGATTTACTTAATAAAAACTTAGCAAAAATAATGTTTCATTGTACCGCCATTACTTTCACCAGGGACTGTATAATCACTGATATTTTCCTACACTTTTATACTATTCTACATTACATTGGAAGTCTGAGTGAAGGTGACAAATTCAGTTACTGGTTGGTTCACATTCATACTAACCTTCCTTTTAATGCCAATGAAGAGCTTTCTGACATTGATTTAGAGTGTATCACCAATTAAAAACTTTGTACACAGATACCACCTCATACACAATCAACCTTATACTTTGCATCAAAATATGTTGATGATGAAGTGCTGAAGGGCAACATCATTCCTTATTATGGCAGTTTATTCAACACTCACCATTGTATCCCATTGACATTGATGGTGTATTAAGAGGACACTTGTTGGATTCAATGGCACACAAAATGATTCCCAAAAATTGTTCAGTTAAAATTCAATGTCTTGAAACGGAGAAAAAAGTGGAAGCATCTGATGAAATTATTTCATTTGGACAATTAACTTCAAAACAATTGATGAAATTGAAAATGAGGTGTATTGTCATCTAATTAGCAAAAACTTGGAATCAGTTGATGCAGTAATAGCCCCAAGTATTTTTTTCAAATCACTGCATCAAAAAAACATCCAATTCTTCAAGCAGGATTCAAGCAACTTTTGGAGAAATTCCAAACATCATCAGATCATAAAGTATAATTTTATTTTATTGTTCCTGATTGTCTATTCAACAAGTTTAGAAACAACCATATGTAACCAAAAAAAAGATGAGTCAGTAAAATTCAGTGATTGAATTAACACAGAGTTATACAATATGTTACTTGCTTAATGGAAGAAAAATTCAGATAAAAAAAGACATTAAAATAAATGTTTAAAGATTGTATAAAATTTTAATTGGATCATTGTAAAAAATAGGTTCAGAAAAATTAAATATAATTAAATAAATTTTTTATACAACTATATAATTTATGTATTTTTTTTGGTGCATAATTTACTTTTTATTGCCATATAAAATCATCATATTTTGTCTCATTTTTGTCTACTATGTTAACCATAAAAATACAGAAATACTATTATTATATTTGGATTGTCTCAAAAATAGAAATGCAATGTCATATTCTAGATATCTGGTATAGCCAATTCAATCTCTTGAGAATATTCATCACAAGAGTGGATATTAATAAATTTTA